AATATAAAATTTCAAATAATAACCAAAACTTATAATGTTCAATATAAAAGGACAATCTATTCACTTCCATTTGTATATATAGGTATATATATATATATATATATATATATATATATACTGTAATAATATGCCTCAGTTAAAAACATACAGTATATGTGGACCCATAGATTTACTAAAGAATTGGTATTTTCCTAGTATATAGACTCTTGCAAGATTTTTTTTTTTTTTTAATACAACCAAATAGAAATGGGCACCTAGAAGATGAACTGGTCTCTCCAGAGTCATTTGGGATTTAAAGTATCTGTGCTAAAAATAAAAAATGGCTTCATAAACAAACTCTTCAGGAGATGTACAGGCCCCCAAAGTCATTCTTTATGCCTCAGGGGCTTTTCTTGTCCCTGTTTCAGAGGTAGGGGTGGAGAGGGAGTAGGGATTGATACAATCCCAAATCACAAACACACTGATATTTTTACTACAAAAAAGGAACTGTGATTTAATGATCCCAATGTGCATGCTTCCAAATGATCACCATGAAAACTAGAATTTAAAATCAAACAAACAAAAAAAATAAAAAATAAAACACAACAAAATCACACACATCACAGGAAGGGCAGGTCGCAGGGATACCCTTGCACCCTCTGGGAAATTGTCATATGTCACTGTATCAAAATAGCCTTTGGGCCCCCCAGAACTTTCTAGATATGCCCCTGCTCAAGTATGGCAGGAAGATTCATCTCAGAAGAAGAAAAATCTAATTTGTAAGCGACTCTGAGGAGCCTTATATCATGTTGTTAGGATTTTCAAGTACCACACACACAGCTGTAGTGAGAAACAAAGCCAATAACTCTCTTATCCACTGCGTTGTTACCTGACGCAGATTCCTGGTGACTTTCACATCATGCCAGGCATTATCATTAAACTTTCCATTCACGGGCTCCACTAGTGCTTCAAAGGCCCCCGATCCCAAATTAATGACCAGAGAGACAGCTCCATTTTTCAGGGCGAGATTGACATAATCAGCCGATTTCCCGGTATGAAGCATCAGTCCATTCCTCTGAAGAGTTTTAAAGGACAAAGTTATTTCATCGCTGCTGCTTTGAATGGGGTTTTGAGACAAGTCGTAGCAGAAGTATTCAGATCCCTTGAAAGTGGCAATATATTCTTCTTTTCCTAGGGGGAAACAGATATATACGTGCCTAAGTAAAGAAATATACTATGTAGATCAGCAGACCTTAACAGAAACAAAATTAATCATTAGCCCCCCCAGATTAACTCTGTCTAATTAACATTCATGACAAGAGCCCCGTCAAACAGAGTCAAACGGTACTGTAGGTGGCCGTATATTTTTAATAAACCTCCTTAGCTATTGGGCCATCAATTGCAATAGCTAAAGCTGACATTCTTGAAAATTCAATTAATTTTTAAGTATCACTGCAAGAGCTCTGATCACAGAAAGTAGCTCTGTGATATCTCCAGGGCATGAATCAGGTACCATAAATGCATATTGGATGGTTCTACTCTGCTGGCAACAATGGGTTCCAATGTGTTTGCAACATTCTCTCCATCCAACTGAGGCGTTATTTTAATTTTCAGTGAGACATTTATATTCAAAGATCTTCTCAGTGAAGAGCCAAATATTTTCATCACTGAGAAACCATAACAAATTATCTGGTAAGGGGAAAGCAAAGAAAAAAAAATAGAATTTGGTCTGGGAGTAAACGGATCTCCTAGAGAGCATGCGCATTTTGTTGTTGTTGTTGTTCCCTCCTTGGATGGAGGGAGCAGTGATAGCGAGCTTAATGGAGTCTGCTGGATTGTTGATTCATTCCCTGATCTCACCAAGCAGATGGTAGGGCTGGCTTTTATGAGACTGGTCAAAATTCCAGCACAACATCATGGGAATAGCATGTAAATGAAGTCTCAACGTTCTCTATATATCTGTCTTTATCATATTTACGAGTAACAGTGTGGGTCCCACAAGATGTCAGACAGATTAACCCAAAATGTGGGTATTTGGAAAGAGCAATCTTCTCCCACTGATTAAGTGAGTTTAACCAAAGGAAGAATGTAAGCCAAAAGCTTCCTCAACTTCCTAGGCAATGATGGTATTGTGCCAAGAAAAATGAAACAGTATGGTCTAGAATCAGCTTCTGATAAACTATAAACACAGAATTATACGTGATAGTGGGGAATCTTAATCTGTTTTACTGGTAATATAGCCTCTCTACCATGTCCACAGGAGGGTTCATGCCGAAAAGGGGCTTACCCTTGGCAACAGGTTCTTACCTCAGGGCTATTTCTTTTTTTTTTTTT